TCGCGAATATAAAACATATTTTCCTTAAAAATTGGTATTCCCAGAAGCCAATTCTCTTAAGAACATCGCTGAGGTGGTACGCCTCAGAGGCTTTCTCTCTAAACTAAGTGAACAGGAAAATTCATTAAACAAAAGCTCCAAAAACCATTATGAAATGTGTATATTATAAGTTATAAACAATCACACCCTACTTCCATTTGAGTAAGCCGAGATTGTGCACTGATTTTTAATAATATACTTATTTCATCTCTTTCACCACTTTATACTGAATATTATACATATATATTATATACACATATACATATATTATATACATACATATAATGTGTGTGTGTGTGTGCGCGCGTGCGTGTGTGTACACATACACACACACACACATACATGCACACATAATAAAGATTAAATATAAAGATTATCTTAATTACTCACTACTTTTTATATTTTATAATTTGTAGATATATGTGTAGCGTCAAGTAGGTAACAAAGTACTTAACACTTTTTTAATGTAAATTCTAAGAGACAAATCTCGATAGTCAAGGCAAATAATTATTCACTAGTTAAGATTTATAAAAGCATTCATCGTTGTGATGAGGAAAAATCAACATTTAGTTCCTTTTGCCATTGTAAATGCGATACGAATTATCACAATCACGAAACCGTATCAGCTGATGGCAGTAGCTCGCTAGGCTAGACGTTTGGGGCCAAAATGGGTGGTTAGCCATAGTATGTACATTTGGATCTTTAGAAGATGTTATTACATTGTTTCTAAGAACTCGATTCGTTTTTATTTAGTAGCTATGGTAATTCTAAAGTAAAATTTTAATTTAGAAGGTGCTGAAATTAAGATCTATATACCTAGACCAACCAAGTACCTATAATGGTAACCACCAAATAAATACCCATCATTTTTTGTTTACATTAATAGGTCGATGGTATTCTAGAATAGCGGCCTAACTCAAAAATAACTAATGTATCAGGAAGACGTTTAAACCTGAGCACCTGAGGGGTATTGTAGTCAAATGTAATGATTATTTATTTTACCCAATAAACCTGAATAATGTTGAGTCGGTCATTACCCAAAGTAATATTATAAATGCGAAAGTACCTGTCCATTACGTTTTCACGCCTGAACCAAGTTTGATGAATTTTGGTATACATGGGACCTAGAGAAGGATTTAGGATACTTTTTGTCACAAAACCCAAGGGTCCAAGGCAAAACCCAATATGTGAGTAAATTTTCGTGAAATGAGACTAGTAGAACTCACCATTCATTATTACTTTTCCCGCATTGTTCAATGGGAACATAACTAAATAGTATTTCAATATACTGGGATTATTACTAAATAGTATTCCATCATAGAAAAGAGCATACACTACAATGAGTTAGATAAAAAAAATTTACAAACTTATTGGGTTTAGCCTCGCACCCCTCGTAATACTATTTTGGTTTAGGATTCCTGAAAAGCGGCGAGGTGTCGATGCGTTCGCGTCGCTAAAAGATGGCGCTTGATTAGCTCTAAGGTTATCAATAATACCTATAGTCAAACGGCTGATAACATTACAAGGCGCCACAAATAAAAATTTAATGACTCGGCTTTTGAGTGAAAATCCAGGAGCTCGCTACGAGTTGGTATGTAGATAACTCTACGAATTTGCTGCTCAAAAGTTCAGTAAAATAGGGCCTTCCGTTTAGAACATGTCGATACATGTCTGGCTTAACATTTTGCTGAATATAAATATAAGGGGCAGGAGAGCTATCACTTCAGTGTGTCTCTTGGCCCACCGCGAACGCGAGGCTCCTTCGGTACTATGATGAGGTACTATAATTATACCTATTTTATTTATTTTAATTAGTTACCTAGCGGGTTTGGTTTGTGTTCGTGAATTGTATGGTTTTCAGAAAATAAACAACAAATAACAACACGGATTGGAAATTTAGAATTACAGTAAAGAGTCCACACCAGTCTTGACACTTTGGGGTTGAATTTAAATTTTAAGTGTCATGCTTGATGTGCTTTTGACCCCGTACCTAGATGTAAGACGTATTCCTTTGTATTTTTTTCAAACATTGAATGTGTAAGGCGTTATATAAGGAGATCCCGCGTTCAATTTCCAGCAGGACTAATTTGGGAAATGGACTTTTTTAAATTAGTTCTGCGTACTAACGCAGACGCAGGGAACTAGTCCTGGAGTGAATTTCGTTGCTCTCTGGCACTCATTGTAGCTACATCGGAATAATAGTTAATATAACTCACAAGTTAGAAAGATGTAGTAGGAATCAGGTTCATCTTCTCGTTCAGAAACCCATCTGATTTCGAGACTACCCGATCGGATCGATTCCGGTTTGTATCAAAATCAGGACGCTGGTAATGGATGTGGTTTTCTAGCACATTATTATTACTTAACTACTTATCTGAAATTAAATAAAATAACATAATAATATATCTAATAAACAAAAACATAAAATGTATGTTCCTTTCATTATCACCGAAAGTAGTTCCCCGAATAATCGTCTTTCACCGAATACTTGCAATCATCATCATCATCATCTACCCTTTTATACGTTCCACTGCTGGGCACGGGTCTCCTTTCAGACGAGAGTTTAGGCCATAGTCCGCCACGCTGGCCCAGTGCGGGTTGGGGGCTTCACACGTTTTCCGAGGGTTGTGAACCTTCTTCAACGTTCAGTTTTCATCACGATGTTATCCTTCACCGAAAAGCTCGTGGTAAATTTCAAATTAAATTTCGCACATATATTTCGAGAAAGTCAGAGGCGCGAGCCCGGATTCGAACCCAGGACCCGCTGCTTGAGAGGCAGTAGGTCAAACCATTAGGCTACCTACCACGGCTTCACTTGCAAATGTTAATGAAAATACGGAGTTTTTAGAATATAAACTATAAAAACGGCATGTATCTACTACATACATGATGAGGTTATTCAACCTAATTCAATGTCAAGCCTGCATGACTAATTCTGAGTATACATTGTTCAGAAATGATTTTACCTATCCACCTCAAAATTATTGTTGTTTATAATAGGATTTCAAAATAAATTAATATTTTGTTTTCGCGTACACTGTCTCTATCTTTATAGCAAAAGTGAACATCTTCCAATCGGAATAATCAAAAAGATTATATGTAATTCCGTTTTCTTTCCGTCTTTATCATATCATATCTTTTATAGATAGACTTTTCTCCATATGATGTCTTATTTTATTTCCCTGTTTAATTAAATTTAACTAGAGACTTCAAGATACACTGTCTTTGCATATAAAAATCGTAAACACCTAGGTATGTGGAAACCTTGTGGTAGGTACTTAGACTATGGAAACCAAAATACATCCTCTAAGGTTTGTACGCTACGCCGTTTTGGGCTATGTATGATATAAATCATTATGTAATATGTTTTGATTTCAATATCAATAGGCTTCATAGCTGATACTTACTTTTGCCTAAAAGCTAACCCGTTAACCCTAAAGTATAAAACGGTAAACATAAAATTATGATTCTGAAGCAATTTAGACACGAAACAACGTAATTCCCCCTGAGCAAAATCTAACAAACACAAGTACAAAAACTATATAGAATGTATTTTCCTTCATGTGTGAAGCGTCTATGGTGTGGGCGCATGACTCTTGCAATCGGGCGTTCTGATTGGTTCGCTATTTGACGTCACGCAAACCGTCCAATAGCAGGGTAAAGAAGTTATTTTTAGAACGCAAGTCGCAAATAGTGGGGCTTGAGGAAAACCGTATGAGAGGCGCGCGGCGTGAATATTGCACAATGTTTTCTGAGCTCCTGCTGTGAGCACGTATCGCACTTTTCAAGTTCTTTAAGCGTTCCGAAGCGATTTAAAGAAAAAACTTTCGCGCTTTTGAGTGTTCATCGGGTTCTTTTAACTTTTTAATTTATTTTTAGAGGTTTAAAGTTCGTCTGCAAAAGGGCTGCAAGCGTTACAGTATTTGTTCGTAACGAGGTATGTTGTTTTACTCTTAATTATTTGATGTCAAAAGGTTCAAGGTCATTTGAAAATAATTATATTGTCATTAAAATTATATTTAAAGTTATTGCATAACAATATGAATACCGATAGGTCACGTAAAATTTCAACGGGGGAAATTGCGAATCGCGGCGACCTACTTGTATCCGTGCACGTTGGAACTTGTCGTGATCACGTTGTCGTTGTCGAGAACATGTCGAAACTTGTTAAGTTTTCTTCGTCGTGTAAATATACTCTTTTTATATTAAAGTTCATATGTAACTAATTATAGTAGGTAGATACCTACACCAATTGTTGCAGAGATTTTTCGTTTCGTTTTATTATTTTTTTTATATAGAAAGATTTTTAAAAGAACGCGTAATAAAGCAAGTCTAAATAATTAGTGAGGATGTGACTATATATCTATTGTGGCCATGACAATTTATCAAATAATAGGACATTATTTGGTTCCGCTCCACAATTTACATAATTGAATACTTTTATAAGCACCACGACCACATCACATTTTTTTTAACTTTTGTGCCGTCTATTATAGTACTTCACTTTTATACGAGTATAGCTACTTCTTTTGTTCGTCTAGAGAGACCGACTGGTAAAACGCCAAGGTCGTAATCGATTTATCATGCCGCGGGTTTTGGATGCGTCAGCGTTGTAATTTGTCTGTCAAATGTGGCTAAAGTTTTATACATAGTTAGTTGGAATATGTAATGGAAAAGATCGATTTTTGTGTAGGCGACTTGGAATGGTGTATTAGTCATCGTAACACAGTACATTTCTACGCAGCATTTTTTAGAACTTCTAGTGATAAGCACTTATGTGATTACGTTTTAAGTACTTATGTATTATTCCTATTCTTATCGCCTCGACAGGTCTAGAATAGTCGAGAACACTCTGGGGTTAGAATTTTGTGATCAATACAATACCGCTCTCGAAAAAGCAGACTTATAAGTAAATTCGTGCATTATTCGAAAAATATTCACTAGTTTTTCATTTGTTACAGGCCTACAGTCGCAAAAATTCATTGGTTGGGCGCCTAAAGAGCTACAATTTCGCAAGGAGGTCGCGAAGAGTTTGAAAATGTAAGTATCACCGCTTTAGCGGTTTTCCTTTCTCATATTTTATGTTCACAGGTTTTTAGAATAGGATCAAGAGGATGAAGAACAAACAACGGACCTATTACAAAATCAAATTCCTCAAATTTTAAATCATAATTCATTTTCACTAAATTTTTCAAAGTATTATTGCATATAAATCAACGATGTTCGAATTAAATCTGCGAAACAATCTTCATGAATTAAAAAATATTTTCATGTTTTTAGGAAGAACTTAAGATTTTCATCACTAATCAAACTTTGAACACTACAGCATGTAGATTATCTTTTTATTAAAAATTCATGATCATGATCCCCTTCCCTATTCCTTGTAAAACGGTACCAGTATCAAAATCTGGAATTTTACTCATCTATCTTTTAGTTTATTAAGCAAATTAATATTAGTTTTACATTAATACCAATATCAATTTTAAGTTTAATTCGGCAGTTCAGTCTTATATCATATTGAGTCATAATTTGTATTTATTGGAAATTAATCTTCGATATCACTTTATTATCGATGATTTCCAAAGTACGTTTTTTTGGTAATTAGTTAAGTTCATAATAAAATACTTAAAATAAGTTACGTATTATTTCCTTTTTAGCTCTCTGCCAATATTTAATTGGGGTCTCCGAATTTTTCTCCTATTTTTAAAAAGGTATAGATAATGTACATAATTCAGTATAAGTATAGTTTTAGATTACGTATCCAGTCTAGTTAGTAAGCTCTTAACTCAAACTCAACTTTCTAATTGGGGTGGCAGTTTGTCGATTATTTTGCTGTGATGAGTTTAGATTTTGATTGGTACCATCAAAACCATTTTCCGATCAGGTGATAATATTATGATTATTACACACAGAACACGAGGAATGAATACATACAGAGTTAATTATATCATGATTACGTAACATTTGATATCTATATATTTTTAAAATATGATATTTTAATATATATGCCGCTATCCCACAGTAGTTTATTTCAGAATAAAACACTGGATCTTTCTATTATTCCGTTTTAATTTTTTTTTATGAATAATAGTTGCTAACCAGATTAATAAAAAATCGGGCTGAGCAATCTTTAATATTCAGTAACATTTTTAAAATTAGTATTTACCTATTTATCTGTCATTTGTTTTTGTTTTATCACCTGAATCCTATAAATTCTTCATCAATTTATCAATTCTTCTTTTCTGTACTTTACATTAACCCATCATTCTTCCAATCCTGGGCGATCATTTTTTCCTTTTTGTCCTTTCCTCGGCTTTATACAAATATGCATTATTATGTTACGTCGTGTCGTTTCTGTTTGTAGTTCTATTCAAAATGGTTGCTCAAAAGTTCACCTGTCCGAGTCGGAGCGACGATATCGGAAATAAATACGAAAGGAACACCCATAGATATGGTTTTTTCGCAAACGGATGCCAGTCCCCAATCTTTTTTGAAAGTGGTAGAGCTAAATCTTTTAAAGAATCGAAAGGTGAACGGCACTACCGGATCCATTATCGGCGGCGGTCTTCAAACACCAACTCTACCTGCGCCAGTGGCCACAACAAGCTTTTCAGAGGTAAGTGATTCCAGAACTGTGAGTATGTTAACTATAGCCTTTATTTATATTACATAAGTTTACTTTTAGTTGTTCTCAATGCCAAAGAACTATTGTTAATATGGAAATTCTAAATTTTCAGATATTTTTGAAACCAGAACCTCTATTCGAGAGTACAATGTTCCACGAATCGGACTCCGAGCTCTTCCGAGATCTGGCTCCGTGGTGTGTACAACCTGCGGAAGAAACAGTACAGACTGGCATTGGTAAGAAAGTTTTAATATTTTGTTCTTTAATTTATCGAAGATTTTAATGTACGGACAACGGCGCATCACACTACAAATTTTTGTTCGAAAATCGCCTCCAGTGCAACTGAACAAGATACGTCAATTTATGCTGGCGTGTGTACGTATGGTCGTATTGAAGGGTTCTGCTCAATTTATGTAATAGAAATTTATCATGTGTTTTCATTGTTTGTAGACATAAAGAAGACTCAAGAACGTGCACACACCACTGACACACTACATACACCAACCTCGCCGCAAGGCTGGGACAATTCGGACGCTAATTCCCCCGGGCTCGGTTTTCACTATTCTGCTATCAATGACCCATTGTCACCTAATCTAGACCTGTTTTCTCAACTTGACAGTAAACTAATGTATTCTGACCAGGAAAAGAAACTGGAAGATCTAAATTGGGAAATTGAATCAATGCCTGTAGTGATGGAACCTGGGACTTTGGCGCCCGAAGAGTCGTTTGACTGGAATCCGTGCCGTGACACGGGAAATATCGATTCAAATTACACACACGAATACACTCCAACAATAAACACACACAATACGTTCATCATGGACGAGGATTCTTCAGACATAAAACTAGACACCGTCATACCCACCGAAGTGGAATACAATGACATGGTCATAACAGACTACGTTCTAAACGAGGCTCGTGACAACTGCGGCGTCTTGGAACCAACACGAGTGGAGCGATCACGTCCAGGTCTGTCCCTTAACATGACAAAGAAGATGTCGTGGACTGGTGATATCGTCAGCACGCCAGAAATTGTGGATATCGTCACGCAACTGAAAGAAGGATATCAATTGCCAAATGAGGTATATAATATGGTTTGTTTATACACATGCCCGTTTCTGACGCCATTTAACAAGTATAATGTACCTAATAATTTTTACGTTTTTGTTACAGAGTCCCCTATCTTGGCCTTTGCACCCAGATCCAGCTTCTGTTCCGTCGGACGTCGCTACAACATCTGCTGCGGCCTCTGTAGACTACGAGTCGTTCACACCAAAAACAGAATCTCTGGACTCCGAAGAAGAAGACGTCAAACACTTCAACAGCCGGAAGAGGCATCGCAATAGTGAAGATTCGGACGAACCATACACCCCATATCCCACTCGATTGAGCAGAAAACCCAAGAAAAGGAAACTGCATGTTCCAATAAGAGATCTTATTCAGGAGCTGGAAGAAGCACAACCAAAAGATCACGAAAAACCTAAGCGAGGCCGTCCTCCTAAAAGAAGAGATAGCACAGTATCTTCTGTTTACAGCGTAGACGATAACGCATCTACAGTATCTACACATGAAATTAAATATAGGGAGCTACGAGACAAAAATAATGAAGCGTCTAAGAGATCTAGGATGAACAGAAAACTCAAGGAGCTCCAAATGGAACAACTTGCTGTCGAATTGGAAGACAGAAATAAAAAATTGAAAGTCAGAGCTGACATTCTCGAAGACATGACCAAGAGAATGAAAGAGGCTCTGATGTCAGCTATTCTGCAAAAATGAATATGTAATTGCATACTCACTGCACGGTGCTCCTAGGGTTTTTTGTGCAATACAGTAATGAACTGTAAGCATTATCTCTTATCGAAATAATATTGTGTTTGCAATTGCAAGTGATTGTATCATTGTAGTTATATACATAATATAGACATATTGTTATCGCAAGTGTGTTTTGTTTGCTATAGTAATGTTTACAATATTATGGAAGATATTGGAGAGACAAATGAGATGCTATGAATTGTATAATTTTAAATATTCTCGGACTTGACTCATAATTTTAGCCCGGATGTGACTTTCTAGGTTTAAGACATTAAGTACATAATTGTTATTGTAATACCTGACACAGTAACTAACGTCTGTGTTTGTTTTTGACTATATCAAAATGTTTAAAAAAATCATTCTTAGTTGTATGACGTAGAACTTCGACAATATTTTTGTTTAAAAAGTCGAAGTTATAATAATAATAGAGATAAAAAAAGTAAAAAATCTTACTCTTAATGTATTGTAATCAAACTATGATTGGTTAACTTTTATTAAATGATGCATAGACGTTTAAATATTAAAAAATAAATGGAATTATATGGTGAAACTTACAAAATAAACGTAAATTATCATGACTTATTTGTTTTATTGTTTAACAAGGTTTAACGCTTATAGTAGCACTTTTATATGTATTGGCTGAATTTAGGCATCCTTTAATCTAAGACGACAATAAACAGATTTATATATACGCAAGTTATAGTTGCGCGTAAATTGAAGTGTCGAATTCTGTACCATCCGTGAAAGTGCGCTAAGTCAGAAATTCGTGTTTTGAGAAAAAACTATTTTGTAAGTAATTATATTTATTTGCCTTTACCGTTATTGTGTTGCCAACTCTCGCTGGTGATTTAATTTTTTATTTTTATTGCTCCTAATTTTGCTTATTTATCTTATTTGTATGGAAAAAAATAAATATTTTGATGTATACATATATTGTTTTATTATTTACGAGCCCTGTACCCGGGGGTGGGGTTCGGCCTGCGGTGCGTGGTTGAGTTCAGTTTACGAGGTGTGCTCATGCTCTTCGGTGGCACAGCAGTTAGTGCTATGGGCGCTTGATGAGGAGGTCGATTCCCGATTTGGGCCAATTTAAGAAACGAACATTTCGAAGTTGGTTTTGGTCTGTGTATTCTGGATTGTCGTTGTTTTGGTATTCATAGTACAGGAAATTCGGCAGTAGTTTGGCATTTTTTCCCCCTAAATACTTCTCTTTGGCATAGCTTTCAAGAAAATGGAATCTAACAGATGATTGAGATACAAAAACGCTATGATAAGTACCTCATTTCCACTACATCGGGAAGTGTGCCTTACATTTTTACGTTTGTATGGTAGCCATATTGAAAAATGGTGAAAAAGAAATTTTAACCGCTAATTATTATTAAACACATAAATACTCCGACATGTCCATTTTCAATCGAATTAGTGCAAATTTTTATCTTTCGCTAAAAGAGTTTGTATGGCGGCCACTTTAAAAGTGGCGAAAAATCAATTTTGATTACAAATTATTATCAAGCACTGCTAGAGACGCCCATATGCCAATTTTCAAAGGGATCTGAGCAATATTTTTCTGCCGCCAACGAACGCTTCTATGACGGCCATATTTGAAAATAGCGAAAAACAAATTTTGAGCACAAATTATTATCATAGCCTTATTATATTAGCATTTCTAGTGGCCTTCACATGCCAATTTTCTTCACATGCCAAAATCTCTTTCGGCAGCTATTTTTAACAAAAAAAAAACACATAGCCATATAAGAAAATGGCGAAAAGAAATTTTTGATCCCAAAACTACGATTAAGGACTCCTAAAGATCCTCGCATGCCAATTTTCAGCCGGATCGAAGCAAGTTTTTCTTCGGCCGCCATTTTGAAATCGCCATCTTGAATTTTTTTTACCCAGGCAGTTGACCAGTGTTACCCTCTATGACATTCCTTCGAGCACCTCCTACCCATCTCTAATAGTTTCCGTGATTGGAGGCTTTGAAATTTGTATGGCGGCCATCTTGTTTATTTGAATTTCGAACATTTTTTACTTCCCGCGGAAATTGACCAGGGTGTATCTCGAAAAATTGCACAAAAATCCCACCCATGTATTATAGTTTTTGTAGGCCTTTGATCACTCTTTCATCTTTTCCATATTCAGGTCCTCTCATATTGATTCTTTGCTTTGGAGCTTATTCGCGTACAGCGCGGTATAAATATTATTTTTCACCATATCGGGAAGTATTATATTTCTATCAGTGAGTAAGACCTTGTAGCTTTATATATATAATAATAATTTACATATTTATTAATTTATATTTATGTCTATAAACTCAAGTTATTTTACCGATAGCTCATCTGATGAATTTGAAAGTACTTCTAGTGATTTTTCTATTTCTTCTAACTCCGATGGGCCTTCACTAGATGTTAAGCTGCGGTCAATATTTCATGGAAAATCCAATTTATTGAACCTGGTGCATATTAACGCGCATAGTGTGCCTGCACACATCTCCGAATTAAATATGTCATTCAACAACGGCATAGTAATTAGTAATCTTGGCTTAAACCTTCTCTGCCATCCTCCCTTTTTTCACGCAATGGTTATAAATTATCGTAACGATAGAGTTGGTACTGGTGGTGTATGTATTTACATCAAGAACTACATCCCGTGCTCCATTGTCAGCCAGTCTCCTAACACTTACACTGGGTCTTTAGAGTATCTGTTTCTGGACGTCAGCTTACACCACACCAATATCTTAGTAGGTGTTACTTATAGCCCTAGCATTAATGTAAATTATTTTACTTATTTGAGACAACCCTTGAATCCTTGAGTGCCTCTTACGACCATGTAATATTGATGGGTGATCTTAATACTTGTTTATTAAAGAATAATTTCCATTCCTCACGTCTTAACTCCCTTGAATCTGCAGTGAACTTTGTGTCGCTCCCACTCACTGCTACCCATCATTCCCCCAATTGTCAACCATTTCGAAACCAGAGTCAGTGCTCTTGCATGGATAAACCACTGCCCCATACTCGTACCATGACCTCATATATTTATCTTACCGAGTACGCACTCCCAAACCCAGAATTAAAGTTATTTTTAGCATAGCTTTGGTAGCATTTGTGTGGATCGTTGAGAGAGGATTTTTCTAATATTGACTGGTCTGCATTGATTGAAGCTAGCACGGTAAATGAGAAATCAAAATTTTTAACAATCTGCGTCCGTGTGACCGTGTCTCTGAATTTCGGACTAAGTTGAAATCAGCCCAAGACTTCACCACAAGATCTTTATTAATAGCTTCAATAGCAGATAGGGTATTAGCTACATCAAAGTGTCTATAAATTTGCACGTCATCTACGTATAAGTGGAACGGAGGAGTTTTATTATTAGTATTAGTTTAGTGAGTTCATTTATGAACAGCGAGAAGAGAAGAGGTGAAAGTACACCACTCTGACGCACGCCTGAAGTCAAAGGAGACCATTCAGAATAAGTGTCATCATGCTTGATCCTTTGAAGGCGATTGCGGAGGTAGTCTGAAAACCAAGCGATTGCAGCAGGGCAGAAGTTAAGAGAGTAGAGAATTACCGACCACCTGACCGATTCCCTGACCAACCCCCTGACCCAACCACAATCCAGTCCATTCAAAATTTAATTGCCAGAACGGGTGAAGTAAAATTTAATTTACTGTTAAAGTTTTAGGGTCGTATTCTAGAACTCTACTCAATGCTCAAGTCAGGATTTGAGTATGGTTTAAAGCACTCGAAATCATACTCAAGTCCCTGCCATTAGGATCGTATTTCCAGTGCTTGTGTTTCCAGTGCAATCCTGACTTGAGCATTGAGTAGAGTTCTAGAATACGAACCTGAGTGTCAATCGTAGATACTTTACTTAACATCCTAGGCAATAATGATGTGACTTCAGCATCTCTGAAACTATACTCAACATTGTCTGGCAGGATTTGACCGTCGTAAAAATGCTTGCAAACAATAAAACAAACAAAAATAGATAATAGCATATTTTCTTTCCCATGTATTTTTTCAAATTATTGTCGAAAAAACAAACTACTCATCACCACTAACTTTAAAGTCGACCGTTATTATTTAACTCCTTTCTCGAGGACACGACACTGGCGTTTTACTTTAGAGTTGGCAGAGAAGAAAAAAAACCTGTGGTTCACATATTTCATTTATCTTCCTTTATTTTTTTCCATCCTCTAAGCGTTTATCCCAAGAATCAGTGGATCTACTCGTCAAGTAAGAAGCTTCATTCGCATCATGCGTCTTTTAATTTGATTGAATATTACTTATTTGACCGTGACTGTTTCGGGCGGAGAACGGGAGTAGACCTCCAGGTTAGTCAAAATGCGTAAGAATCGAGAGAAATATTAGTTCAAAAATTTTAGGCAATGTTGAGCACAGAAGGAAATGTCGCAGCGTTTTGCGGTACCGAAATCGGGTCACCGCGGGTGAAAATATGGAGTCGATCAAAATTCAAAACATGTCTATTTCGACTTTAGACCTACGAGTAGTTGATGAACATGGAGTTGATATTGTTTCCCTGATTTTTGATGGCTGCCTGGCTGTTCTTTCGCGGCCAAAGTATGGGGTTGTCAATGAGATAATAAAGAGATGAATTCCGTATTCACTCGCAACGAAAGTGGTTAAGTTCCCCGGTCCCATCTAATGTTAAAACTGGCAAATAATGCCCTAGGAGACAAACCATACTTGGTCATCGGAGAGAGAAAAACGATTGCATGGCACACCATAAAGTTTCTCGTAGAACTTCGATAAGGCGAATGTTGCCATTGCTCAGGCCAGATAGAAGCGGCCGCGGAAGCGTTCCGGGCGCTGGAATTTTTGTTATGTGTAAGTATATTAATATAATGAAGTCTGCAGATCATTATCATCACATTCACGGTGCGGTGCATGCTTGGATTCGGACGTGCCACAACACAGTAAGAATTATAATAATTCGCAACCCGCGCGGCAATAGCCCTAACTAGACTAGACATAACTCATAGCCCATGAACTGCTGGCGTTCATCCAACACGCCATCGACACTATGGACGAGGTCAGCATCGTGCAGATCTAGAAAAACAGATTTGCAGTGTCAAAGCGCTGCTTTTCCGCACGCTCGGCAAGGCCGAGCAGATGCCATCTCGCCGGAGCGATGGAGGAGCGAAGAGTCTCCAGGACATCATTACGCTGTTTAAGGAGACCGACCCAGATGACGTGCCTGCTTTCGTGACGAAGCAGGTGCACAACCTGCACGGGTGTCACGTTCGACCATGTCGACGTCACCAGAGTCGAGAGAGACAGCTCATATGGATGTGTCACCGACCGTGGCCGTTGGTGCCGCGCGCGTTTCCCCGCGCCCCACCCCGGCGAAGACCCCTCGACGTGATTACGCTGCTGTTGCCGCTGCTACCCGACCCATTCATTGCTCCACAACCACAGGCCAGGCAACCAGCGCAGGGGAAGAAAAAAAGCGGAATCTCATCTCTGGAGCTGTGTCGTCAGTACCACAGAGAGGGGTACCAATACGACGAGGACGGCTTCAAAAAGGTGGAAAAGAAAAAGAAATACACTAGCCGTAACCTTAATGGCACCGCCTCGACATGGCCCCAACTATCTATTGCGTCCAGCGGTACCGACGACGTTGCTATACGTGCCACGAGTTCATTACTCTACAAAGTCTGCGGATATTGTGGCGTACATAGGTGACCGCCAAAGCTGTCCTGAGGGTCGAGCAGTTGGAGTCCCGCCACAAGTGAATTTTAATTCATTTGTGGTGTGAATTTTAATTCATTTGTGGTGAGAGTACTAACTCAACATCTGTAGACCTTCATGAAGGAGGAGTTTTGACCGAAGGGTTGACACCCTTCTGACCCTGTTCCGGCGTTTCAGAGGACGGCTATCGGACCCCCACGTTGTCACACGGCGCGGTCTGTACGTGTAAATAAATAAATAGTTTTTATCATATTATTGTGTGTTATTCTATAAGGTGTATTTTATGGGTCTTTTGTCACCTGAAAATAAATAAATAAATAAAAAAATTATCAATTACAAAAAGTAAATAATGGAAGTCAAAAACTAGCAGCACTTTAGTGAAACCGAAGAGTACAAAAACTCTTTTGAATATTGCAAAACTATGCTAATACACAATTTAAATCGGCATTTAAAAAAAAATGCGACTAAAACCGATTCATTCACGACTAAAGAATTGTTTAAATCGCGATATTTTTAGAGCAATCACATCTAAGCGAAAAATATTTCTTTGTAAGCTTTATAAGTAAATTTATCCATGACCCAACCTAGGCAGAACGGAAGCGAAATTCGCCTCGAGAAGGCGCGTGCAGTCGCGGGAACGGAATGAATTCGTAAGAATTCCCGTGACTTCGCCTTGAGCCTGTAGTAGGCGTTTATTTGTTCAGTCTAGACAGACGCTTGCAGTCGAAGTCATGCAGTTGACGACTGGACCGCATGCAGTCTATCTGTTAGAAGCCTTAAGCCTAAAATCAAGTTTTTTGCAACTTCAACGGACTAAACTACTACGCCATCTTTCAAATACATCTGGAATAAGGCATACGAAAAAACAGCAGACATGAGGATTTTGTAATAAATTTAAAATAATTTGTGGCTGTAAAAAGAGTAATTTATTTATAATTCACAATTAGAACAAAATGTACCAAACAAAATTGTTGAGATATTACAAATGTGTTTCACGGCATCAAATATTTGCCCGTTAAAACATTTCTTGTGACCAGGCCCTAACCTGCAGCACTTAGGTACTTACAATTTTTGTAAAACTACAATTTTTATCACGATATCTTAGGCACACTATGTTGATGCACATCTGCAATATACTTGCGCCTTAATATCGCAGCATTGATTAACAAATGGTGAGTGTAAAGATAAATAATACAATTAACATTCATAATAATCTAAATCAACTAAATATTTAACATAATATATACTAACATACGGGTATAAGATTCCCTATGGAGGCAATGCATCATTGGTATTCTAATTCCCTCGGGAAGAAGTATACTGCAGTAAATTAAAATATAATTAAGAAAGATTATTCACATAAAAAATATTTAAGAGCAGCACCTAATCAAATGCCAGTTTTCCAGGTTTCAATTCATATTTAATTGCTATCGGCCTTTTATTTTGCGACCTTACGTTACGTAAACCCTTAGAAAAATTTACACCAATCAATCAATTTGGTCACAAATGTAAGCCCCAGTCTTTATTGTGATTCCCCTGCCAGCTAACCATTTCAAAGCACAGATTAATTAGTCAGAAATGGAATGAAAAAGAAAAATGGTTTTGATAAAGGTGTGGTAGCTGTGCAGAAGTTGCAATAAAGACTGGGGCTGGCCTCGGAGCAGTGTGAGCATATAGCAATTCTAATATACACGTATATATCCACACCGCACTAATGAATAATCAAGTCCTATTACATAGCACAATTCAAGGTCTCCGTGCTTGAGTCCTACACGTTACACTTGATACTCGTAAATTTACACTTTACACTCGAGTCTTAGTAAACGGACACTTTTCTGGGAATCACGCCTGTTAATCAGATCCGCCGTCGTCGGCGTCCTCGAGGAAGCTGAATTTATTTGATCCTACAAAATTCTGAAAAGAGACAAAAATACTTAAGTCAACATGAATTAAAATTTAAGATAAAAATGTAAATTGGAAGGAACCAGTCTATCGTGTCTAACGAAAACACTGCAAGTCTCAGTAGTCTTTTGTAATTTCATTACAACAAGAATGTTTCGGCTTTCATGTAAGCAATTTACTCGTTTTTCAACAGGAATAGCTCATTTTGCAAAGTAAATTATTTTATTTTAGCCAATATATGGCAAGATAGAATTCTTTACAACTAATGAACAAAGTAAGTTCAAATGCATCTTTCATGTTGTTAACTTGAAAAAAATACATGACTAAAAATTTTTTGCAATTTTATCTCAAAAAGCAGTTTTTAACCGACTTTAAAAAAAGGAGGAGGTTATCAATTTGGCTGTATTTTTTTGTATGTATGTTACGCGATAATTCCAGTATTTGGCAACCGGTTTTGAGGAATCTTTTTTGTTGGAAAGAGGATACCTCAGTAGTGGTCCCATTTAAAATTTAATTCAAGAAAACAATTCCACCTCTAAGGGTGGATGACTTTTATGGTTTACTCTGTATTGATTTTTTAATAATACAGTTTATTGGTTAGACACGGTAGCAGTGATGACCACTTACCGGTTTTTCTTGTTCCTTCAACTTGGGCAGAGGTTTTTCTTTCTCTTCTTGGTCGTCGTCGTGTCGATCCCTCGAACGACTGGGACGCGCGCGGCCGTTACGCTCCTCGCGTTTTGGCTCGCGGTCGTCGCGCACCTTTTCGTTCTCTCTGTCCCCCGACGTGACGCGTGTCTGGCGCCTGTCGCCGGAATAGTCGTGCCGTTCACGGTCGTACGAGTCGCGTCTATCGTTATCTCTCTTCTCCCTGTCATCCTTGAAATCGCGTTTGTCGTCCCGCCCCCAGTCGTCCCTGCGATCCCTGTCATCTTTGTAGTCGCGTCGATCCCTGTCGTCTCTGTAGTCACGTTCGCGTCTGTCGCGATCGTCTTTGGAATAGTCACGTTTGTCTCTGTCGTCCTTTGAGTAATCGCGGCGGTCCCTGTTATCCTTGGAGTAGTCGCGGTTGTCTTTATCGTCTTTAGAATAGTCGCGCCGGTCCCTGTTGTAGCTGCGCGAGTCTCTTCCGCGATCATCGCGACGATCATCACCCCTACGATCATCACGACGGTCGTCTCTGCGGTCTTCTCTGCGATCCTCCCTACGGTCGTCTAAAAGAAGAAATGTATTTATAGCACTCGTTTCGTTACCAACGTTATCAAGTCACTTCAAAGAACATACTAACCACGTCTCGCAGTGCTGCGACGCTCACCGGAGTGATCATTCTGTAACCAAGCGTAGTATTAACAATATTTTATCACACCTACACTTATACATATATAATCTGTTATGTTAATCGTTATTTTGCGTACTCTACGACCCCATCGATCCTTTTCTTCGGTTGCACGTCGAGCCTCCTCTTCCTGCTTACGGAGACGTTCTTCTATTTCACGCTCCCTAAATAAAAAAAAATTCGTTACAATCTTCAAAATAAACCATATTACATATGGTATTTTACACTATACAAATGTTGGTATAGAGCGACCGGACCACACATAGAGATGTGGAACGGTGTCTAAATAACATTATAATCTAGCACCTTGAAGTAAAAACTTAACAACCATCAAGACTTTTATGTCTTGGCAATTGTCTTATGTGCAGGTACTACATTCTCCATATAAAATAATCGACTGTGAACTGGCAACCGGTACTATCTCAATTTTGACAACTTTCCAGGATTAAGAAAGAATAATTAATATAGCAATTAGTTTATTAAATAAATGACGCAAAAAATTTTTTCATCCTGCCAGTTCACAGTCAATATGCTACTAGGTGACACTGGGTGAATCTCCAATACCATGAAAAAAGTGTCTGCTTGTTATATGTTTATACAAAGACGAAAGGACTTGAAAATTAAATGTAATTAGATTTCTTGTTAACTGTTGCGTGAGGCGCAGTTTCCAAAATATTTCATTTAATCAATTTAAAAAGTATACAGGCCACAAGCTGTGCTAAACACCAACCACTATTATTCTTGTCCCAACACGACATACATTTAAGTTTTCGGAATAACTTATTTAAAAACTTACTTTAAAAATCAGGTTATGTTCCAAATTATACTGAAGTAAATAATTTTCAAAGGCGTGGTGGAAATAGTAAGAATATAATCATAAAATAACTAAAAATATGAGGTAAAAAAATTGTAACGAATTACGCGTCATTAAAGTTCACGTTTATTTCGCATCTATTACTTAAGAAAGTACGCAAGGGTGGAGAGAGGCCTTTTCTCACCTCACCCCGCACCTCCTTTCAGTCAATCGTGAAGTGTCAGCAAGGATAACGGACACGTTTTAAAGTAAAATAAATAATTGCTCCTCACTGCTGCATCTTGTCAAAAATAACGTCATTAGCTTTTTACTACATTATTCTGTAACTACATATTTAAATTATTATAAAAGTTTTATACATTGCGACAAATTTGTTACGATTTACTTAGGGTCCAACGTGGTGTTCATTTGCAAGCAATTCAGCAGGTTGCGACATGTTTTGTTCCTAAACGTCTTTGTCCTCAACATCATTATTCTGAATAAGGACGTATGCCCATTATGTCGTGACGACAGATAGTCGTGCAGTTTAAAGTCTCGTGGCTTGTATATTTAAATGAAGTAGTTCACACATAGAACAACACGATTAACTGTCGTTCACGCCTTTTTTGACAGACTGTCGCAATGGGAAAAGCTAGAACGAGAGTCGTCTTACGATAAATAAAACGTCACGATAAAATGTGACGACAGGTAATCGCAGCTTCAAACCATTTTGTTGTGCAAACGACAAGGCGGCTGCCATGAACCAATACACGTCGTCACGATCTAGTGGGAACAGCTAGACACGACAGTCGTTCAACGATAAAATAAAGGTCCACGACACAGTCACAACAGATAGTCGTGATATGGGAACAGGTTAGACGCGACAGTCGTCCAACGATAAATAAAACGTCACGACATAGTAGGAACGCGCCATAATACATGTTTCCGGTAGTACACTTAAACATAACCAGTTTTATGTGTAAAATGTTACGATATAATAGGAACGCGTCCTAATGCTTGATTGCATAATAACGCTTGTTGAGAGTAATGACGTGATGTTATTATTAATGGTAATTAACACTCAATAACATGAAAAATTTTCTAAGGAAATGTATAAATTTTAAATAATATTTTAATGGTTAAATTCCGTCCGCGTTGGTAATTTTATTGAAATATTTTAAAGTTTTAATACATAAAATAACACTATGAGTGTAAAATCTTCACAAATATAATATATTTTCAAAGAAGCGGTAGCCAATTGGTTAAGAGCATGCCACGGAATGCTAAGGTCGCTCGCGTTGAAAATTTTATTTCCATGTATTAATATTTGTTATAGATGCAAAATGCCAAATCCGATAACCAAAGAACAACGTGCACCCCAGCAAAAATTGTGCCAAAAACGAAAATATCTTGAAATAAAGAATTATCCCGATTTACTCGCAAAAGAGACAGAAAAACGGAAAGCTACATACTGAAAAAAAAAAAGACAAAAGTAAAACAATCGCTTAAAGATACAAAGAGAAAGGGCCTTTCCATCGTATGTTGTTTTTTGTAGTGAAACTAAATACATATTTTATTCAGATGTTATGTATAATAATAGATCATTATTTATATTATAATTTTGTAGTTTTTCTCATCAACCCTAATATAAAATATTAAAAAACCTCATTATCCATATCACAGTATCATTATAATATCAGCAAACATCATTAACCTTACCCAGTAACTCAACATTATTAACACCACATAAGTGTCGAAAAAACATTATTTACCCCAAAATATGCTTCTGTGACCAGTGCCTCAGTTATGTCCCGTTTTACTACCATCTAAAGTAACCAATAAGGCAATATTATTTGTGATAGCACGACATCCATTATAAAAAAAATGTTTCTAACAAAATAAATAATTGTCAAACAATCACCCCACTACTTCAATAAAATAAGACAACTTAAACAGCAACTAAAATAGAATAAGTGGATGGAGCGGAAAACTCAGCGTATTTTGCTACCTATTTAATTTATTACCTTAGTTATCTCACCTACATATGTTAGCATGATGCCAGCAGGCAACGGAGATAGATGGGCTAAATATTTATGAGCTGATGAAAACAGTGTATAAGTAAAGGAATAGTGGAGGGTAGACCGAGTATCTGCGAGTTGTATATACACCAACATTTAACGATTTTTTTTACTGCTTTTTTAAAGATCTAACATCAAGTCTTAATTCTATAGATAAAATAAACTTACTTGGCAGCAGTGTCGACTGGCTTAGCACCCCCAAAGACCTTCTCTGCAGGCACGGGTTTCGGAGTGGCCTTCTCTGGCGGTTTGTCATCGAGCGGAGCGCCGTCAGCAGGCTTTGTGGGGGTCTCCACTTCGCGGGGAACCGTGCGCGGCAATAGGTTGAGTTTTGGACGTTCGCGAGGTTTTTCTATTGGAAACGCATTTATTATTTACCTATTTGAGAAGGTTACCCACGTAACGTAAGTATATTAGGAAGCTATTTTAAGGTAGTAAAAAGGATGTGGTGGCGCGGCGTCAGTTCAATCAAACACGAAGTAACTTTCATTAAAGTTAATTACGTCACTGTCTTTTCTTATAACAAAAAGGTAGGAAAAGTAATTTTAGTTTACTGGGAAAATTTATTAAGCTCCTATTATTTATTACGTTTCCAAACCGTAATGTAAAAAAAAAAATGTTTCGCATTTGGTTCATGTCAGAAAAAGACACAACGGCATCCTGAAAATTATTACGGGCAGGTTTGGTTAGCCAATCCAAATACACTGGGTTGGGCAAGTCAAACCTGTGTTTACATTCAGGGTTATTTGTTACAACCTCGCAAGACAATATTGCTAATATCATAAACATTTGTTCCACGACTTTTTATAAAACATAATAAAGTTACCTAAAATAAACTTTTAAGTTTCTATTGTATTATCTGACACTTGTTAGATCTGTAACTGGTAGTAAGTTCAAACGTGCAAGCGTCCTCCCGTCGACCCCCACTCCTGCGTTTTGTTACAGAGATATCACTGTAGAGCGTTCTTAAATATTTATATTGAACGCAAAGCGTGACGAATTATTAAAAGTAATGGAACGAAAGATGTTGTTTATGATGTTAGTAATATAGGCTTGCGAGGTTTTTAGTATTTTGCAAATAAGCCTGTAAATTAAATAATCAGTTTTAGTTTGTATAGTTTTATTTTAGCGTTTAGTTTGTATAATAAGTACTATACTACTACTATTACTATACTAGTACTATTTTAAGTTAAAATGTTTTACTAACGAGTCATTTAGGTCTGTGATACCCGAAATAAAGAAATTCCATTCTATTCTATTATTTTACTTGTGATGCAAATGCCTACAGTCTAAAATTAGAGAAGGATGGTGTTGCTAATTTACACAGCAGCAACTAAAAACGTCATTATGTGATTTTTTTAATATTAAAAAAAAAATTTATAAAATTTTTATACTATTTTTTTTAAAATAGGCGCCTTGTCGTCGAGTTGCGGACACCAGCCCGTTACACCAAGTACCAAAGTGATTTTTTTACTAATGATAACAAAATTAACAAGTACGCTGTATATATTAGATTGCGTTTACTCGGATTGATGCAGATTAATGGTAGGCTAAGGCGAATTGTCATTTTCTAACACACTGCCTAATACAAACAGGGTTTTGATGACTGTTTGCTCTAGATAAATGGTACACCTACTCTTGTCTACTGTGTTCGGTTCTTGTGAATTTTGATTTTCTCATACAAATATGCAATTGACTGCGCACTTTTTGTATTAGTAGACCAGTTTCACGCCATTTATTTTTTAACCAAAACTTGTTCGTTATTATAACAATACCTATAAATAACTACATTTTGCTACACCCAGTGTTATAAGAATGTGGTAATTAATGTAGGAAAAACAAGCCACTAGTGGACATACCGTGTGTGCTTGACTGGTTTATTTAGATTCTTATACATGTTTGGGTCATTGTTCATAAATTAAGCTAGGTACGTACATTTCATAGATTTGTAATCATTTAGTGCTTGGAAAGTGAGCACCAGTTTTCCCACTTAAATTCGAAATGGCTCATAATGCGTCATTGTTAAATCCACGAGGAGTATGGTAACTGAATCCTCACATTAGTAACTACAGTCATAAATAAAGTTTGTTGACTATAATAAAAGAGTATTTACCATCTCTGGGAGGGTCTCGGTCACGATCGCGGTCGCGATCACGATCGCCAAATCCTCTTGATCCAAATCCTCTGCCTTCTCGATTCCTGTCGTATATAATTAAGATCTTTCAAGGCACGTTAAGGCTATTTCCACTTTGTAAAAAATCTAGATGTTTAAAGACTCAAATTTTTTTTTGAAATTTTGGGTATTACAAAATATTTACCCAAATCCCCCTCCTTCACGGTCCGCGGTGCGGAAGCCATCGCGTCCGCCGTAACCGCTGCGCTCGGTGTCTCGGCCGAAGCCACGCTCCCGGCCACTGAAAATGAAAGCAATTTGTTAAACCATGGCCGATATTGCCGCACTTGTATAGCAAGGTAGCGTTAAAACTTCTCTAGACAAGGGTTATTAAGTTAGTAAATCATACTGCTTCACTAATCCCGTTATTGCGACGATATTTTCTTTTGCTGCTCAAGCAAATTCTGAAAATATTCAAAAAATGTAGGCGATTGCTTGATTGAAAATCTAATCATATGTTTGTAACGTAACTGGACATCAAATGTATTGTAATTACCGATCTTCTCCGAAGCGATCGCGACCAAAGGAATCCCGACCTCCGTACGGCGTACGTGCTGGCTCGGGCGGTGCCGGCCGGTCGCCGTCACGCCATCCGCCTGGTCGGTTGTCTGCGCTCGCTGCCAATATTGTGCATATTTTTTATCATTAAAGATACGAAATGCAAACTTAAGATATAAAAAAAAGTCAGGTGTGGTTTCAACAACCACATTCATTTATCAAAGTTTGACACAAATTCACTCAGTAATTTAGCTGTAGATCTCAAAGCAAGCTGAAGACTAGTCTGAATTGAGTTGCGATTAAACGTCGTGTCACAGATTATGCTAAAATTGCGGGTCACAGGAAATTTCCAAAGACACACAGGGCTAAATCTCGTCCTTAAAAGGAGTCCCAAACGAAGCCCCAATGTCCGTGTTTCTGGTTTTCCTGCCGCCGCTGTCAGCAGCGCCCCCTGCTGGAGGGTGGAGTGGTGACCACAGCGCACCGATGACCTTTACTCAGACCTTCCCGAGACAGACGGAGTAACGCAATGATAAATGTTTATAAACACTTTAACGCTAATATTGTGTTATGTAAATACAACAGGAGTAGGCTTGTTCTTAAATGAAATATCTAGATATACAAGTAGGTTAAATTTGGTTTTCGTTTTGCTGTTTATAAACCAAATACCAGTGTACTCTGCATGTGTGTCCCAAGTGCGACATTACAGCTTGCTTTAAATTGCAACAGCTACTCATCATCGTGATTTCAGAAATAGTTGTGTCTTAGTCCTAATTTTAATTTCAGATGAACAGCAGTCATCGGATAATACTTTACAGACTAAGTAATTATCCAAAAATATACACATATATGTAAAAACAATGTACATTGACTATAGCCAGTTAAAACGGCCAATGTGAAAAAACCAGCAATAACAGTTTAGGCAAAAATTGCACGCTCAATAATAAAGTGACGCAATTAGATATTAATTTTTGGGTAACTGTCAAAACATGTTATAACGTCATCAGCCATTTACTTTATTTATTTAAATCTTAAATATTTCCGTTCACCGTTTCGGACTATTAACAAACAACAACACGGTTTATATCGAACATTGGCGGTTTTTACGTTTGAATGTCACTCAAGTTAAATAAAACGTAAACCAACACAAATACAATATAGATTAAAAATTGTATACAATATACAAAGTTTTTCATTCTCCTTTAAAATTTATCGAAATTACTTGAGAAGTGTTGTTTGCTAAGCGACGATATAAAATTCTATAGAATATGAAAACAATATACTTTTCCTTAATTGAAGTTTGATTGAATAAATTGAATTGTGTCACTTTAATATTGAGGGTGTGATAATATTTACGGCTATCAGCCCCCGTAGCATGCCACCACGATAAAATTATTATATCCACACTCAGCCGTCAAATACAAGTGATAAAACAGTTATTTTCAAATTTGATCACAATCGCGCGCGCCGCGATTAGTAATACAATACGATTAGTAGAACAAAAAACTTACAGTCTCGCTCGCGGTCTCGCTCACGATCTCGCTCGCGATCACGATCACGATCACGTTCGCGGTCCATCGGTCTGCTGCGCGTTTGCGGTTCGGCACGTGGCCCAGACCGCCAGTCACCCATGGTACGCTCTGGGTCGTATTCTCTGCTGGACCATTAAATAGTATTTATGAATCAACAACGTGTACAAGAATCTTTTATGGGCACATTTTTATGAATGAAAAATCACATATTTTGCGTATGAATACTGCCCGACTGCACTTAAGGAATTCAACATACAAATTTATATATTTCTGGGTACTGGTTGAACTAATGTACTATGAATGGCGCATGGGTCTTGTATCATTTCGACTCATCCGAAGAACAAAGTGCGATGTGATTAAACAGCGAAAACAGGTTACAACATAATCTCGTTATTCAAAAGGCCTATATAAAGGTGTTTCAGATTTTTTATGTCTTTATTATTTCGTTTCGGAAATATAAAATCGAACAACAGTCGATCTTGACTGTGAATATCCGCAGTCAAGAACAACGAACCAAATGTATAATGCCTCGAGAATAAGCAGCATCTTGCACATAGGTCATCATAGGGCATCTGGCACATTTGTTCTATGGATGAGTCGATTTATGTGTGTGCGTTGATACCTCAACGTGACTCATTTTAATGACACTAGAAAACTAAAAGATACAAGAAAAGGGCTATTACCACTGTTTGGACTATTTTATAAAACGTGTATTATTAGGCAAGTATCCTATATAGCAATTTATTATCAACGACCAGTGCAATAGGCAGAAATAGATGTTATTTTCGTATATAATCACGCACAAATAAATATTCGTCTGTAAATTATTGACTACTCTGGACAATTAATCATCCTTCAAATTGGAATATACTTAGTGTATAATAAATTCTTCACGATTTGTGTCCTACTGGTTTCACTAATGGTCATTGTAAGTTCAATGTAAGAAACCCCTAAAAAAGTTCCCTTAAAAATTAAAACTAGTGAAACTGGTCAACAACGGGGCGAAGAATTGAAAAGACAAGCTCTTCTTCTTATTATACATTAATGTAGAGAGCATTATCAAAAAGAGCTCTAGCTCAGACTCTTACCTTTTTATCTACATGTGTAACTTTAAATGATATTATTTAAGGCTAAATTGTTGTTACTTTAATATAAAATAAATAAAGGTCTTTATTATTATATGTCTACTTTAATCTGAGATGTAAAGCAAATTGGATCCTGGTATATGGAAACTTATGTATGTAGATATGTTGATAAATGTATCGTATCGTTTTCGAGCACGAATAAGAATTCGTCAAATTTTCAAAGCATGTTGTTTCATTTATATATTTGATATCATGTGACGGGACGAAAAGTCGTGGGTATGATGGTAAGCGACACGCTTGGCCATAACGGTGCCGTGCCACTTAGAGCTTTAAATTGCAAAGATCTGTGGGGCATTGCCACTTCACCAGTATCCTCACCCTTCAAAACCGGGACGCAGTGATGTTCACATTACCGCTTGGCAGAAATAAGTAAGCTAGCGGTACTTCCCTGGACGATCTATTTAACAAGGAGCTCTACTGCTACTATATTATATATTGAATATTTTAATATAAGTAAATAGGATGTTTGATATAACTTTCCTCATGTTGAAGACTAATCTATATACAAAGAAATAGTCTGTCTATTTCCATCATACTCATGTGAGTAACTACTCTGTAAGTGGTTCCATTATTTATTATTATTCTATCGCATTTATACACCAGAGACAATTTTCGTTTTACATATCAAAGTACGAAGATGCGAGTTTGTAAATATACAAATACGTACACCAATGACGCATGTTTTAATTGCGCGTTTACAATTGAAAATAGACAGGCAAATTTTTTTGAGTACATAAACAGTTACATGCAACATAATTGCGCAATTTTCTATTTAAAATTTTTGACATAGTTCACAACTGAATTTTTATTACACTCAAAGTTGTCATACAAAAGATCACTTTTAAACTGTAACATTAAAGATTTTATCTACACACATATCATAAACCCTCTATGATGTGTTCAAAAATCGCAAATTACGACCAGCATAAAGTTAAACTGTTTTGTTAGAACAAATTTCTAATCTGTGAAAATGTCATTATTGCTTAATAATGACATCGAATTTGATTTTATTATTTATTACATTCAAATTTCGAACATCTCTGAAAAATAATTTGATTGGAGATGAAGCTTTATTCGAAATGAAATGTCAATAGCAAACAATTTAGATTTTTTTGCAAACAATTTTGACAATTTCACATGTTACTTCATATCCTTAGAGGATAGAAAAAAATAAAGGAAAGGAGCTGCTCTATCTACGGAATAAACGTCCCAACCCAAACCAAAAATGTCCACCACAAATGACGGATTTCTTTAGTGTTGTACCATAATCATCGATAAGTCTATATCAACATGCAAATGTATGGCTTGAATGTTGAAACTGTTTTTTTGTTATGTTTGTAATTTGTATAGTTTACTGTATTCAAAGTATAATTTAAAGTAGATCAATATTTATTGTCATATGGGAATATCCGGGATGATAGGTATGAGATTTTGAATTTGTTGTCTGCATATTCTGCACTTCAATTAACATTCTAGGAGTATCTGGCTGTACTGTTGGCTGTAGAGTAAACAAGTAATCTTGCAATATATATTGGTCGAGCCTAAGCCAAAACGAGCGCAGCAAATAGATATATAGCTAGTGTTGCTGTCTACACGCTCGGCAAGTATGAAAAAGAGCATTACAAACGGCCATTGTGTTGTGTAGCTGCCCACACGTTAGTCGCTGTCAGTTATCATTTACATCGAAACTGTATGGGATGACGTACAAGTTATTGGAGCTGCTGCTATTTATTATTGGGCGCCTATAATTATTACGTAAGTGCATCTAATATATGTTATATAATGTTAGAGTTGTCGGTAACGAGTGGATGGTTTTAAGGAATGGAGAATGCCAGCAATGTCTCTCTCACTTGTTTACGCAAAATTAAATGTAAAATTATTTACGAATAAATACGATGATGGAATTGCATTATCATGCAATCTAGTTACATTCAAAGTTCTATTAAAATGTGACTCTTCAAAATGGAGCGAACAGACGAAGGTGATATTTGTTTCAATGTTTATGTTCGGCAATCCCACCAAACCATTCTTTCTTTCTTTTTTCATTTGTAGTTAAACTTTAAAAATAATAATAATGAAAAAATAAAAACCTCGTAGTGAATTGCTTTAATAACAGCATATTGATAGTATGTCTGCTTACAAGAGGGTTGTTCTTCAAAAGGGGCAAAAAACGTCTTCCGGTCAATTATTTTAATATACTAAAATTTCATGACACAATTAATAAGCTTTTTATATATATTTACCATTATTTTACATGTTACCCAGTTTAAAAAATACATCTTTGGTTTAATTTATGAAAAAAAAATCAAAAACGTCGCTAAACGTCATTTTACTCCTATTCCTATGACGTCTCTTAACACAACATTTGTTCACAAATAATTTATTAAATACTTATACATTCTAAAAATTTTATGAATGAAAGTTTAATAAATTAACCTTCGTTTAAAATAAAAACCTCTTCAAATACTTTGCATGGTTAACTTAAACTTCAATTCAAATTATTGCTACAAGAAAAACGTCATTTGTCGCAGTAACGTTGTTAAATCTTATTATTGAACGACGCATTTTCGAACGCATCTTTAATACACCTTCCCGGGTGTGCGGGAGGGGCCTTCAGTCGGCGGAGACCTATTGGTGAACGAGCACGTGCGGGTCTGAGAGCTGTAAGTAATTTTTTATAGTTCTTCACATTTTGTCATTAAAAATATCATTTGTGTTTCAACCTAAACTCCTTAAATGCACATACGTAATATTTTCGTTTGTATTTTATTCAATAGCCAGTGGCAAATGAATTCATTTAGTCTAATCATAACGGTTTTTTAATGCTCACAGACAAGTCCATACAGGTTTTTTCCTCAACTCGTCATTCTATGCTACATCATTGTCGGCACTTATCCGATTCGCCGTCATCGCAATACCGGAATAAATATATGTTTTATATTATCAGTCAATTGTCGTCCCAACACAGTAATATAACTAGAATAACCTGGAATTATTCTGAAGCTGGGCACGGAAAGGGTGCTCCTGATGGCGTTGGTGGTACAATAAAAAGAGTAGCAGATCAAATGGTGCATTTTGGTTCAGATGTTGGAAATTTTGATGAGTTTTACAAAATCATGGAATCAAGATTAGAAAATATTATAATTCAAAGAGTTTCAGAGCAAGACATAATTCAGAGGGAGAGATTGATTCCTGAGCAGTTGAAACCATTCAGGGGCACCCTTTCTGTACATCAGGTTCTTTGGGACGCGTTCAGACCTAAAATCACTATGAGAAATATGAGTTGCTTCCTATGTGATGCTGGTGAAATTTGCTCCCATGGTAAGCATCTGGGTTATATCAATAATAAGTCCTTTAGAAATCAGAACGACGATCTTGATTCTTGTGTAACTCCCCTGGCAAACACTAAGCGTAAATCTCAAAATCATAACAAAATTCAGATTATTTCTAATGTTCTTATTGATGTCACTAATAAGACTCAGCTTCAGTGAAAATTGACCCATTTTGATTATTCCAATTTAGTTGATAATAATTGCGATTGGAATTAAGATGATAATACGTGATATTTTTTGCGTGAAATCTTTTGAATCCTAAAATTGTAAGTAAAAGTATACTATTTGAAACTTAATATTTGTCTATCCTGTGTGTAGATCAAGGATATTACGGGGATGAGGACGCAATGCGGATGCAGATATGAATATTTTTAAGAGATATACATCACGTAGCTAAAATATGTGGAACTCTCTTAATAATTATGTCCTTAATTGAAGAAGTTAATCTGTGATTTTTTAAAATAATTACCAAATTACTATTACCAAAGAAAAACTAAATCCCGTATTACAGAACATAGCTCAATACTAAAGCATTACTTAAAACTAGATTCAAGCCAGTTGATTGGTTGAAACTATTTTTTTTATTTCATCAGTACTCAAGAATTACTTAAAAGTAGATCCAAGCCAGTTGATTTCTTGAAACTATTTTTTTTTTATTTGATTAATACTCAAGCATTACTTAAAATTAGATTCAAACCAGTTGATTGGTTGAAACTATTTTTAAGTAACGCTTGAGTCTTGGTAGACGTTCTATAATACGAGACTGAGTCCTTTATTAGCTAGATGATTAAGTTATTTGAGTGTGACAGTTTGTTTTTAAGAAATATCTAAGTACCTACTTAGCTTCACAGTTACGTATTTATCGCCTCACGCTAATAATTTAAGATTGTCATTTACTTTGAATCCTTTGTTTAATAAATAAATATTATATAATATACTTAATAAATATTTTGATTACTTAAATGTTTTTTTATTGTTAAATACCCAAAAATGAAAGATTTTAGATCATTGTCTGCAACACGGCGTCATTATTATACAAGCTAAAGTCATTCTCAGTGCGTGGTGTCATTAGTATCAACGTGAATAATTAGAAATTTACAAATATTACGAAGAATAATGAAAATTAATACGTGCCTTTCATAAAATAATCTTTTAGAGTATGCTTACATTGCATTTAGCTTGATAAAAATAGCTTACATAAAGGTTCTAAAAAATATATGAAAACTTAACAAAAATAATTTATTTCGAAGAACAACCCAAGAACAACACTATCTCAAAATATTCATATATCAACAGTCTTCAAAATATACTAATAAACAGGCAACCTAAAGTAACCAAAGCAAAATTCGGCAAGACTTATGAATAAACTACTTAAATGAGTCTAATTACAGGAGATATTTGGGCTATTGTATGATTTATAGACAAAAAATAAAACATGCCCGTGTTATGTAACATTCGGTTGATCTCCGCCTTTTCTACTACCGTACCCCTCAATGCCGCAGCGACGCTTTTTAATCAATACTTAAGTGTTCTCAGTGTCAATATTTTTGTCCAAATTTATTACAATTCATGGGAATAATTCAATAAAACATTGGTTTTGACATCTCATGTACTTCCCTTTTGACAACCGGATACGGATGTCAAAGGGTACTCCAAAAATGGTAAAATCAGGACAGTTGGCATTTAAGATGACGTTACGTATTTTTGATTCTTATCTTTCCTATATATTTTAGTTAAACAAAGACAATAAAATGTTTATGTTTTTAACATCTAAATGCATCATGTACATATAACGTCTGATTTATATATGTCAATATAACATGTCGTAACATGTATAAATGTCGTAATGTCGTAAACCTGTTGGTTTCTATAGTCTAAGATTTCGACATTGAAAACATAAACATGTTATTGTCTTTGTTTAACTATTGCGTGCCGTCTTAAGCCAAAAGAGATAGCATTACATTGGTCTGTGTCAACACGGGAATCGAAAATACGTAACGTCATCTTAAATGCCAACCGTGTCCATTTCGCAGTACATGATACGGTTGTCAAAGGGAAGTACATCAAATGTTTTGAGATAGTGTTGTTCTTGGAAGCGTACATATTATCGATGTTCTGTTATTAAAATAATTCAGTACGAGGTTCTTATTATTTTATTATTTTTACTATTTAAGTTTACCTACAAATCAAAAAAGAAAAAAGAATGGTTAGAAATCATACCGCCGAATATAAACATTGAATCAAAGACTATTTTCATTTATTCGCTTCATTTTGAAGAGTCAAACTTTAACATAACTTTGAACGTAACTAGATTACATGATAATGTAATTTCATCATAAGGTTTGTTGGTAAATAATTTTATATTTAATTTAGATTAAACAAGACTCATTTACTAGGCATTCTCAGTTCCTGAAAACAAAATTATCCACTCGTTTCCGATTTTTGTCGCACTGACAACTCTAACTACTAAAAATTCTTATTTTATAAAGCCAGCAATACAATGACCATGTTGGTCCAATGTTGCCGGGTGAAGGCCAATACCAACGTATAGACAACCTATTTGCCTTGCCTTGCCATCGTCAGGTGTCACCGCCTAGCTAACCGACTGAAGGCGAGTGCTAACGTGTATAGAGCTCACTCGCAGTCGCTCATGACTACTTGTCTCACTTCAGAGAAGTGTCGATTTTTCTGCACAAATCAAAGACGCTCTGCCAATAGTAGTCAATTGACATTGTATAATCAGACATTTGCATGCTATTTAATATATCCATATCCGAATTGTCTATCCTAAGGTTGCCTGGAAGAAATTGCTACATAGCAATAAGGCCGCCTGTTGCACATTGACTTACTACTACTATTATACTTAAGCTATTGTATTGTATTTTAATTGTAATTTTATGTGCAATAAAGAATATTTGATTCATTATATGCGAAAAATGTTTATACTAACACTGTCCCTTCTTAGATCTCCTATTATACCATGTTTCAAGCAAATAAATGTACGATAATAATATTATTATTGATAATATTACTACTTTTATTTCCAAAATTCAATGGAAGTATTAAAGATTCACTTAAATCAGTCACTGATAATAATATAAATACCTAAAAGCTTACACTATTTGGAATCTGTTTAAAAACTTCTCTTTGAAAATATTAATCTTGAAGTTGGAAATGTATAGGATTTATATTTCAAAGTTTTCTCTTTTTTATATACTCTCAAATCACTTTTTTTTTTCTGTGCAAATTCACTTTTCGTTATATTTGAGTATTTGTAAACGCCAAACAATAAATTCAAAATTTCAAGTGACTTTCTGTGTGTGATATTCCCGGATCCCGGATATTATTAAATGTTTGCTGTAAATAATGACTTATCGATAGATTATGGTACGACACTAAATAAATCCGCTATTTGTTCGTTAAATTTTTGTAGAATGCACGTTCATTCCGTAGTTAGGGCAGCTCCTTTCTTTTATTTTTTTTTCCATCCTCTAAGCTTGATATCGAACGATATGATAGTTGGGGCCGATTCTAATTTGTCTATGAATTAAAAATAAAAACTACGGTTGTGGGACATGCGCGAGAAAAGTTTTTATTAGCCGCCATCTCGCCAGTCGTAACATGCGGTCCCTGAACACATCACAGAGAGCTTATAATATGTGTGTAGATAAAGCAATGTATGTAACTGTACATAATTAGGCATTACAACACTCGTGAGATGTTTTTATGAAACTCGCCTGTCTCGTATTTTAATGCCTTCATATTTTAATGCCTGTAAGTCACATAAACGACTATAGTTTGTACAGATAAATTACCTCTCACGGTCGTTCCTGCCGCCCATCCTACGGCGGTCGTTATCCTGTGTGGCCACCTCTATTCTTATCCGCCGCCCGCTTATTGTCTGCTCAACAAAAGGGACTAGTTTAAAACATTGTTACTACACCATTATGGCCGCTTTCATTGGTATTTACTTTTGGCTTGGTATAAATTTGTAATAATAATAATCTCTAAGTTGTTCAAACAATAAGTGGAAACAAAGGACAAGATCACAGTTATCTACTGTATAAGAAAAGAATAAAATCTTGGCAAAAAATGTAACCTATAAGTTGCACAAATGCCAGTATAAAATTGAGCAGTTATAGTCGTCAGCCAATAAGAGGCCAAATTCGACAGCTAAAGAAGGCGTTAGTATGCAAATGTAGTAATGTAATGTTTGAATGCAATCAACGAAACAGTAAACAAACAATTATTAGCATAATTAAGTTTAACAAAATACATAAATTTATTGAAACATTACAAAATATGACAAAACATATTTGAAGCACTGTTTTCGCACGAATCACAATATAAAATGCAATTTTGAGTTACTCCGAAACGTCCTGAAAACATGTACCTGCTAAAGATATTTTTTTTTAATAATAGTGTTGTAAGCAATTAATCGCCGAATTTCACCGAGTCACTTTGATTTCTCGGAAAAAAATGACTTATTAAATATTAAAACAAAAATGTATAAAAATTGGTGTATTTTAAATAATTATGTATATAACATCTCTGACCACACTTATTGCAAATAAATTTTAATTCATCAAATTCGAATCAGATCCCTAATCAGAATTCGAATCAGATTCCTAGCCAGATTTGTATTTCCTTTTCTTTTTTGCAAATTTTGAATTGGCAACACTGATATCAATTCAGCGGCAGTCTTTCGCCATCCTGAAATATGACTGTGCGCTTGGTGATTTTTGGTCTATATTTCTTGTGACTCGGTTTTGCTTTTGGACTGTTCCTGTTTTCTGAATTATTAACATTATTTGAGATTGTTTGTTCTTTCATTGACAACTTTTAACTATAATAATAATAATAATAATAACGCACACATTCAACATAGCCCCGCACTAGGGAAACCCTGTGTCGCGGGTGCCATGGACACACACATAGACAACCACAAATTACACCCAAACTCACGAGAGAAATAAATGTAGGCCATACAAATATTTCTCCCGGCCCGGGAATCGAACCCGAGGACCTCTGCGTGGCAGTCCGGTATGGTAACCGTTGGGCCACGGAGGCAGTTCAATAACTTGTTGCCAGCCCAATAATTGAAAATTTATGTTTCTTGGTATTTTAATCTTTTTAAGTAGTTGTTTTATCGACGAACATACTTGTTTACACTAAATTGTCGTAATAAACCATTTATGAATATTATAAAATCAAAATTAAAAGAATTGGATACAATTCATCAGAATGTGGGTCAATTTTACGAAAATGTTATTTGTTAAAATTTGTTATTTATTAACAGCTGAGCGAAAATTTGATGAGTAATAGAGAATACGAGAAACTACATTGAACTTATTAGTGGTAAGAGAAAATTTATTTTTTTATTATTTAGACACAACAATTTAGACTAAAAATAAAAAGATTTAGGCTTACCAAATCTGATATATTCATGGCATTAATAAGACTCTCCCTGTCTTCGAAGTCTACATAGCCATACCCCTTAAGGCGGTCACCTTCACGTGGCAATCTCAAGCTGGTGATCTGTTTTGATAAACATTATTATTGTTATGGAATAATGAATAAAGTTAACAGGATATTCGCTTTGCATCAGACCTAAGATTATTTCTATCTGTCTCAGGTACTTCATGTCATTTGTAAAGTAGATAAACTGGTGAAATTTAACTAATCTCATAAAAATTGAGTAAAATACCCAACTGACAAAAAGACACAAAGATTTGCACCTTCAATCCGGCAAACAGTTCCGTGATGGCGCTCTCATCGACGTCATAAGGCAGGTTTGAGATGTGAGCGATGAAGGGTGGACGTCGTGGTATGGACTCTTCGTCCACGGCCAGACCGCCGCGCGCCGCGCGTGACGCAGATGGCAGCACAACTGGCTGCCGCGATCGCGTTCCATAGCCATAGCTCTCCGTTGCTGTCAGACATATATTTCTATATATCGGATTACTTTGGATAACATGTTATCCCAACTGTAACTTATGTTAAATTGTATCTTAAACAATAATAATAATAGCGCACACACTCAACACAGCCCCGCACTAGGGAAACCCTGTCGCGGGTGCCATGGGCACACACATAGACAACCACAAATTACATCCAAACTCATGAGAGAAATAAATGTAGACCATACAAATATTTCTCCCGGCCCGGGAATCGAACCTAGGACCTCTGTGTGGCAGTACGGCACGGTAACTGTTCAGCCATGGAAGCAGTTAAACAAGGGACCTGTCTCAATAAATTGTTTTATTACTAATTCTTCAGACAGGCACCATACACATAAACAAAAAACTTTGGTGGTGTTTATTACATCACATGTTATGGACAACAAATGTGGTCAAAAAATATTTCCAAGAAATAAGAACAAAGGAGTTTAACAATTTCATATCACAAAGTGCTTGATGTTGTTTACATAATTAATAACATACAATAACAATATAGGAGGACTAATTAATGATACAACTTGTATATTATTATCACTACATAAATATAAAATAGACAAAATTGATACTAATTTTCAATAGAACCCTCAGTAAATTAGGGAGCAGGCCAATGAAAGATTAGTCTGAATTGAGTTATGACCTTGGCCATCTCGTAATCGTGCTAAAACTGCTGGTCATGAGAGTTTCCAACAGCTGCAAAGTCTGTGCCTCCACTGAACCTCATAGGCCTAGTATCCTGAGCTAGACTTTGCACAGTGATTTCTAGTTCTCCCACCTTCTGTGTAACAGAAGCATCCAGCTAGAATGTACTTACAAACACAAATGACCTTTCCTCAGACCTTCCCGGGGCGGAGGGAGTGACGGGCACCCTGCTTGTGCACCCCAAGTACGAGATTAACATTGGCCTGCCATAAACCCTCATGTCATCACTGGGTTGTTTAAAGAGAACAATATTAATCCATACGAAAACAAAGCTTACTTACGTTCTTCATCTACAGAGTCGGCCCAGCTGTTTATTGTCGGTATGGTAGTAGGTTCCGCAATAATGTCTGTGATGCTGGCTGGGATCCATTTTGCCTTCTTTGATTTCTTGCCTGTAACATACACAAATAATCAAATTTCACTGGAAATTGACAGCGGACGTGGACTCTCAAGAGGAGGCCGATGAAATGATGACGCATAGCTTATGAACAGTCAGCGACCTACTCCGATTTTGGAAAGCGGTTATTCGGGGACACATGATAGGATACTTTGCGTTTGTGAAACATCTGTTCAAGTTCACTTTTTCTCACCTCTTGCCACCTATTCTAAACTAGTTCTACAGCTAGAAAACCACTTATCCATGAAAATAAAGTGTTCAAAAAGTTCAGAAATGTGGCCACGCGGTAAATCCAAACGTCCGCAAAGGTGAAATGATGACACGTTAGCATTATTAGATAACTTCAGAAAGGGTTTAAAATAACTGAGTAAAGTACACGCATCTCATGCAAACACATTTGAATAAAGAAAATTGAGAATAAACAGAGAAATACACTAAAAATGTAGAAAAATTCACGTGACAAAATTATAGAAACTAACCTGTAGCGGCCATATTACAAGGCTGGGGTATGTGTTGCCATTAACAAATATATATCTACCTAAAATACAATCTCTAGATTATGTCAGCAAAATGGGGAATATTCTCCATAAAATTTAAATCTTCAAAAAGCTTCAAGGTTTCTCATGTTCTTTGTTCTTCATTCTTCATAGTGTTGTGTTGAAATTTGGTCTCACTAAACAAGTGACATATCAGTAGAAATTGAGGAAAATTTATAATGTATTATTATTTTAAATGTTTAAGAAAGTGGAGATGAACTAAATTGTTGGAATTAGTCGCATTTATTTGATAAATTTAATTATTAGTGATACTGAATAAAATAACGGATTTCTATTCATATATATGTCCACGTGTTAAGTATCGATTTTTAGTATTGGCAACCTCATTTTTTTTACAATAATACACAATGTTAACTCATTTACATCAGTAATCGAAAAGTCCGGTTTTTAAACTACGGATAGTAAGTAAGATTGCGCCAATAATTAAGAATTTATTTCAAAACTTTTCGTTAGGTAAATAAATAGCACTTCGAACTAGATAAATAATAAAAGTTTAGTTAAATCGCCATAAACGAACTATTGACAGAAAAACCGGTAAGATCATATTCTTGTTTCTTCAATTTTCATTCATTCATTATCCTGCATTGCAGTCTGAATTGCCGTCCGCCGCATAATGCAGGTAGTAGGTTATGAATGTAGCCGCAGCTTGCAAATCATCTTGCAATTCCGCAATTCTGCGCGACTCCATTCATATGTCATATGCAGGATTGTATGTGAGCAGTCTCCTGCTTACGCGGCGGACTGCCTTGCAGGTAGTGAATGGGCTATTTAGTTGATTATGTCTCTCGTTTTATTTAAGGGCACTATATGTACGTATAATGCCATCGGAATTACTATTAGTGCGACAATACACGTCCGCTTTTTCCGATCTTCCGCTTTCTGATCCGACTACCGGAAGCCGCGCGTGCCATATAATTGTATGAACACTCAATACACGTCCGATCCGACTATCGGGTGACGTGGCATCAGAGTCGAAAACAGCGCCCGATTTTATTACCGATCGTATTGTCTGAAGGCGCGCTCTCTATACTTTTGCGGGGAGACGAAATACACGTCCGATTTTTCCTTAGAGGATGGAAAAATTCTATAGTGTAAGAATTTTTCCCTCCGATTTGCAACGTTACCAATGCAAATTATTCAAAATCCCCAAATATCAAAGTTATAAATTTGGGGAGAGCAAAGGTCATATTTCCCACATGTAATAATATTTATTAATTCTCAGTATTTATTATATAATTATTGTTACGGTTAAAATATATCAAATAATTAAGAACGTCAAAATGTGCCCATCTATTACATATACGTTATGCTATAATTAGAAATAAAATCAACAAGTTGAATTAAGTTTAAACCTTACTATTTAAGCTTGACGAGTGGCAACTTGTGGTATTAAGATCTATCCATACGAATCCGGGCCGTGCCCGGGACGTGGACGGGCCTTGCTTCGTCAGGGACTCAAAAAATATCGTTGCGTTTATTTTATACGAACTCGTTCACACATATTCGTGTCCCGGCCGGCACCGGGACGGACCTGCAGTTCATACAAACTAGCACGCCCCGTCCACGTCTCGGGCACGGCCCTGATTTGTGTGGATAGTATAGTCCTTTAAAATCCTACTGCTGAACTTTGTTCGGCAACAGCTGTATTCTTTTTTCACACCGGGGACCGGTCAAAACGAGGAAGGGTCGCGCGCTCAACACGCATCGATCGATCATCATCATCCTATTTAAGAGCCAGGCTCTTGTAGGTGACTGATAATAGTAGTAATTTTACAATTCAAGACAAAGTGATTCTAATCCTACTGGATAATAGAGGTGGGTGATAAATAACGTCACGATGAAAAAATCACGATGATCCGCCGTCAAACAGTATCACCGTGACTCAATCCGAAGGAACGACGTTCCAAAGTCACATAGGTGTTCCTCCGTTCCAATAGCTATCCCCGTCACACATACGTATTTGATACAATGCGCGATCTCCGTTCCGTGTTGACTGAGCGCGCCACTCGTTGTAGTTCCCTTCAAATCGGGCAATTTCGGCGATGGGAGTGAGTGAGATAGGATGACTTTCTTTGCTCACTCACAAGGGTCGTAGGTGCTTATTACAACCAATTGGTCCATGCTACTAGAAAGGGCGGATGAAAAAATCTGCAGCAGTTACTATAAACCTATTTATTAACAAAGTAAAATATTTTTGTACATTTATTTTATCATTGGAAGAGTTGGTATTTTATACATATTTATGTACCTATAATCTACTTTGTGTATTCTACTAGAAATATAATTACATTACACTTTATTGCTATTTTTAACACTCCAAAGATTCGCATTAAATTAGTAACAAACAAAATTACATTAAATACAATATCAACTTTTTGAATGGAATTGAAACTTATTACAAAGGGAGTAAAAACTTAAATCATTCTACAAAAAACGGATATAAGTATTAGAAAGAAGCCGCTGGCTAAAACCGTATATCGTGATGTAAGTTATAGGCGTGACAAGGTCACGGAAGTAACAGTCGTGACAAAAACACGGTGATTTATCACCGTAATTTTTTTGGAACCGGAACGACAATCACGGCGATAGAAATGTAACGCTATTCCCCATGTCTACTGGATAATTTTGTACATATAACCTGATGGCTAATAATTCTATATAAATGTTGCTATATAAGCGGCGTATGTGCGATGTTGAAACATATGATATTAATAATAATAAAAATAAATGATATGTAATTAAATATATAGATAAAATAAAATTCTAGAATGCGAGGGCATTTTCCTAGGCAAATGGGGGCAAATTCCCTGTATTTGGGGAATTCACCATAAATTGGCAACACTACAGTTAGTTCAAAAAAGTCTTACGAAAGAATAGGACGGCTATCGGACGTATTGAGTGAATTCGATCCGATAGTCGGATCCGACCATCAGACACGAAATCGGACGTGTATTACCGTACTTATAGAGCTAGCTAATAGCTACTATCATTTATCAATCATGTGTAATAACTAGTTTACACACCTATAAACGTACACTGTACCATCACGCTGTTAACTCCCACTGGGGTAACCCCAACGGTCTGTTCATATATGCTCATTTTTTCTTCTCACTTGACCTTTTTAGGGACATCATAAATCTGGTTGAGATATATGCATCGAGATCAACCTATCACAATGTTTCCATCCACATACACTACAGGCACGCCATTATTCTACGTACATACACATGTAGCATATTACCCGATGGAATACGTGTACGTAACTACAACAACGCATACATGCTGCAAAGAAACTAATGGACCCCCGTTATCTATCTTCGCACAGGGATTCAGAGTTTCTTTGCAGATGAGTCTGAAATGGTATAACATACATATACCTGCATACTGTTATAATTCGTTCAAAATAAATTTGTTACGTATTTAGGTTCCTCAAAGTTAATTTATCGTCAAAATAAAGGGGACTTGTGCCTATCAACTGTATTTAGAATTATTTGTTTCAAGAATTTAAACAGGTAAAGTCTATATTGGGAGATCACGTCGAATAGGTATTTTTACAAAAAGGGCATTATATCTAGCAGTGGGGCGTTATAATATTTTATTTAGAAGAATATTGGTAAGTAAATAACGGGTAGGTACAATTTACAGACAGCGGGGCGGTAGGCACAAGCTGCGATGAGGAACACGGTCCACTCCTGCCGACCAACGATGTGACGACGACGATGAGGCGATGAGACGGCAGCTAGCACGCGCTGTAGATGGCATTCAGGTCGCGCAACGTTGCTGTGTGGACGCGCGTATCGCTCCCGAGCTCGCATCGAACGCGCTCACATCCGTTGAACATTTTATCGATACCATTTTTTTTGTAACGAAGTGTTTTTATGTAACCACGGGGTAATGAACGAGTGCCTAAAAATTAAGAGCTAGATTTGTTGAAAGACTGCTTCCTTTCTGTCTTTGTTGTCGATCGTAAATTGAATTTCTCTGTGACGTAAAACACAGTGCCGGTGATAACGGGGTGTGATGTGAATAGTGCTGTTTACGCGATGTGTTTGGGTTTGTAAGTGAAGCGGGTTGTGATGGGGTTTGCCGGAAGTGGTGGTGCTGGGCGGGCGGCGCACGAGGCGCTGCTGGCGCGCCAAGATGCCGAGCTGCGGCTAATGGAGACCATGAAACGGAGTCTTCAAGCCAAGATGAAGAGTGACCGAGAATATGCTCTTGCGCTTTCCGCTGCGGCAGCACAGGGACAGAAAATGGACAAGTGTGAGGAACTAAACGGTTAGAATTCTAATTTGAATTTATTAAGCAATATTTCATTTAAACGCATTTAGAATAGAATAGACATTTATTGCATTTCTGTTAAATGCAAATCGTTAATCCATCATCGGCCGTTAGATTTAAATTTGAAGTAGTTTGTTTTGCTGTAAGAAGTTTAGATATTGAGGGTAGTAAACGATCGCCCAAATTTCTTTTGTGTCGTTAGTTAGATAATAATCACATAGACTCAAATGTAATTTCATTAATTATTGAAGAAAATGCGGTCTTTAAATGTACCCTACAAATTACCTAAAAACTCTAAACATACTCATTTGTATAATCTACAACAGGCTCAGTAATCGCGTCAGCATGGCGCACCATGACGGAGGAGTGGGAGAACACCAGCAAGCTTATTCGTGCCAATGCCGAAGCACTGGAATCTCGAGCTTTGGATCGCCTTACGTCTCTTATGACCGAACGACGGAAAACTCGGAAGACTTATCAGGAGGACCATACCAAGATCTCTGCTCAGTTTGCACAGGTAAGTTCGGACAAAGACAAACTCAACTTTCATTTGTTTCACTTTCTTTGTCGAAATATGATTTGTAGAAATATGAAGTAAGGCCTAATGAGCTCTTAGAACCAATTAGCATCTTTAACTGATAGTATTATTTTATTCAATAGTTTTGTTAGTCACTACTAAATGGAATGCACTGTTGGTGCTCCTGTTCCTTATTCTTTAAAACGTTTAGGAACATCATTTCGCTGCAAAGTACGTGTTTGAAAATACACAAGTACCTTTTGGGTATATGTGCAGTAAAACATGTGTAAGACTGATGACAACACTATTTTACGCAAGTAGTTACTTGCTCTTTATCGGCACCCTCAGCACCGTGACCGATCACGTCTCGCAGTCGATAACGCCGCTGACTCACTGCAACTAGAACAGTTTTAAACTTCTTTAAAGTCACGCACGTATCTGATATATTTTCTACTAATAGAGCACTGGGTGTTTTATATCCGGAGTAATTTTGACGCCTGCATATAGCATTTCGTCACTAATGTCGTCTTAATTTCTAACCTAATTTATATAAACTTAGGGTTTTGAACAATTTTGACACAAACAAAACGTACGCTTTAATCATAAACACTCAGCGAGTGTCGGCTCAAGGAAATCGGTGCAATATTTCCTTCTACTTCAATGATTAAGGTTGCACCAGCCGTTGCCATGAACCGGTCGGGCGGGCTGTGTCCCTCGCTTCCTATCGCGATCTATCTGCTGTACTACGAGTACATAATTAGGTCTAGCGAACGGTGTAAATGAAAGAATGGTGTCGAGGTCGCTCCAACCAGCTGCCTGACCAGGCTACTTTATTAAATCCCGTAGTTAATCGCGTTCTATGTGGGCTAATTGGCGTACGTGGAAATTACTTGCGGTAATTTTGCGATTGATGAAGAGATTTGTAATTTACGAGATTATAAGGAAGTGTTATTTTTGATATTTATTTCGTTTGTGCTTTTGGCTCGATTCTTTCAATTACGTCTGGCCTTTCATGTGTCCTAATACAGCTTAGGATCAATATTGTGAGTGTCCAATGTGAATTCGTGTCAACCGCAATTTATATGACTAACACCTACATAAATCGGATTATAGTTACGAGTTTATGGAATGTGTAATTTGATATTCGCCATACAAGATTACTTATATTTATTATATAGATACCGATATGAACAAGTGCATTAGTTTAAAATATCAAGATATCATTACAGTACCGTTTCATGTGATTGGGAACATTGCCAACATTTTCCTGCGTAAATAAAACAAGGGAATTGGCGCGTTTAGCTAACACACAAAACATCTGTTAAATTTATAACTGGGACTTGATATCGAGATGATGATTGAATCTAGATTTTAACCGATAAATAATTAACGAACTTTGTGAAAACCAACGGTATCAAGGATTGTCTTCTTAGCAAGGCGTGAAAATAAGATACACTTCTTTTGTAAAAAAGACTGTCTAAAAGCTGAATGAAAATTTTAAGTGCGGTAATTTACCTATGACATTGTGGTATTTAAACTTCCTGGAAAACGATAGCTCTGCCATTACAAAAGCTTGAAGCGGTTTAAACTTGTAAGCGGTTAGCGGAAAGGATATTAGTATGCAAGAGAATGCACTCGGCTAATGAAAGACTGACATTACTCCGGTTGTAACAGCCTCTTGGAATGCGTGGGCCTATCTTTCTGAACTTTAAAATATAATAGAAGCATTGTCTATTTGGAGATACAGCAGAGACAAACTTGTGAACAGGCAAGTACAAGATAATCTTTTGGTTCCTTGACGGTACTAATTTCTTGTTAGGCACCCTAAGCATCTATTGAAAACGGAACCCCTTAACACCTTTCTGCAGGGAAATTTTCAATCGACGAAATCGCTTTGTTTTGCATTTTTAACAAAGTGACAGAAAAATCTTTACTCGATTCGTGGAAATGCTCTAAAAGACCGACTAACAGGTCAGACTGATCGGTAAACAAAGGCTATTGAGAGATTACTCGAAGCACCGGTTTCTCGAAATGGAAGGTCCTCAATCCTGTCTCTCACTCTGACGTAACATGGCCGCGATGCCTCGGAAAAGGATGTAAAATGTAATTGAGCGATTTCTAACTGAGTCGCGTAAAGTATCGGTCTTCACCAGGATTGGTTGTGCGGCACCTGTCACCGTTCATTGGCCTGTGCCTGCGCCACGGCGCAGTCAGTACCGCAAATTTCTTATGTATTTTTTGTTGTGATTACTTGGACAAAGTTTTTATTATAATAAAGTAGGTGAGGCAAAATTTCTAGTAGGTAACTTGACTAAATTGGCTGTTTAAGAATTGGTATCAGAAACATAAAGTTTGACAAATTGGGATTTTCTATATATTTAGCCTTGTACCAAATTAGTTACCTAGTTACCACGAGGCTGCAATCGTAGTATCCGGCATCTCCAATGTCGATGTGTTCACTGCATCTCGTTGGAACTTGTGCGCCGGATGTGGCCTGGTTCGCATTACCTCTGGACTTGAACCATGTCATCTCAGCTCTGTCAACTCTAGATTATATAAATGAGATCTCCCTCTCGCGGACTGAATACGCAATTTTTGAGCAAACATTTTTTAAATGTGTTTACTATAGGTTTGCGCGGAATGTTAGGTCAATAAATTTTTATGTCACCTATTCACTTCGAAGTTTAACTAACCTCCATTTTAAGTTACTACATCATTATTTATAGATTTTAGTTAAAGCAGAATGACCAGAAAGGTGTTAGTGTTAACTTCGGTTATATTGAGGTTCGTAAATAGGCATTTGTAGATTCCAGAACACGAAACTGTCCACAATCGCATTGTATTGTAGGCATCTCTACTTCTGTAGTGCAATAGTAGGTACTTTAAGTAAATAGCGAAAGCGATGCCTATTCGTCTGTGTCCAAAGCTAAAATTTGTTTGTATTTCCGTCGTTCGGATCCGGTCTTCAGTCGACAACTCTGTCGTTCTGCTCGTTACTATGCGTGTAAAACGAGCGAAAAGGCTGTAACTGGGGCAAAAGAGTCTCGAGTAACCGCTCTACACACCTGACCTACTGTCGGCTACACGCGGCGAAACATTTTTTTAATATTTTATTACTATTATTATTACGCTTTGTAAAAATAGTTTAAAGTCTATCAAAGTATGTAACAACCCGATTAGTCTTAGAACTGGAAGGGTCCAAGCGATATTGTCCTTAGTACCTACATTGTCCTCAAATAAGAACTGAAGTGAAAAAATAGTCCAAATCAGTCTTTGCAGATAAGGCATACCTATTAGATCTTTTCAGTCCAAGTTGATCACTTTATTTAACCACAGATTATTGAATGATTTCATGCAAAAGTGAAATATTTGGAAAATATTTATATGTCTATAAGTATTTACATGGTCTGTAGTCTATATAATATAAATTAGGAATACAACGTTACAAATTTGACATGTTTTTACTAGTCATTACTCTCATTACACTGCATGTTGTGTGTACATGTTTAGTAGCAGTAAGAGCTCCTTGTGAAAGAGTTCAGCCAGGGAAGTACTGCCACCTTACCTATTTCTGCCGCCAAGCATAATGTCAGCATTACTGTGTTCCGGTTTTGAAGGGTAAGGAGGCTGGTTAAATTACAGGCACATGAGACTTGTCAACTTGATTTGAACTTGTAATCATGATCTTTGCGATTTAAAACTCTTGAGCTGCGACTGTTATGGACAGGCGTGTACCTCACCATCAGGCACACGACTTGAAAAACATTTCATCATTATTCAGCCATAAAACATTTCCTTTATACTATATTGCTCGTCAGAAATGGTTAAATGTGCGATATACTGTTCTGTAAACATTACCATCAAGTATTCCACTCACCACACTTGAAGCAATAAATTAATTTGAATTGCTCTTGCGCTTATTGCTACGTCATAGCATAATTAGAAGAGTTTTTTGACAATTAACTCAATAATGCGAAACTTATAGCATGCCTAACTCCAAGCCTTTGATTAAAACTCATTTAATTTACTTAACAGGCATGCATTTATTTACCATTCATTCTAAATCTACAGTAAAGGTTGGAAAGAAAGACTACAGTAACACAGCATTGTGATTTTGATGAAAACGTGAAAACGAAGCATTCCTATGTAGGTTATTATTATGAAACATTGTAGAGTATTGTGTGAGATGGCTGTGTCAAATTATCGCACGTTCTGTCATTGTCGGTTTGGAAGACCGGGCGTTATGTACACTCGCATTTTCTAATGTAAAATACTTGAATTTTTGCCAATAATATCTTGCGTTGTTACGCGTATTACCCAGAAGATAATTAATTTCTGTAGCTCCACTGTAATTTTGTCTGACTTTTGTATAAACAAAATAATAATATTTTCATTATTTTGGTTATTATGCGAATTTTGGTCAATTCAAATAACAAAAATTGCTTTGTGTTTACTTTACCTCTTATCACCCATTTGACAGTCATTAGTCCAAAAGAAAAAGACTTCCTATCTCATCGATCAGTTCCTTAATTCCTGAATTTAATCAATAGAGTTAATATCGGCACGTGTGACTAGTTTGTATCGATAGGACCATTGTTGCGCAAGAGTCGAATCATTTCATTATTGGGCCAGAGAAAGTGAAACCAGCCGACGATCAGTGAAAGTCAGCCCCCGACGGTTATCTAATTTTGATACCGAGTGAACAGGTTCAAGATTATGTATTTAATCACACAGTTTAGATCATCTTTAACTGTTCGTATAAATACAGTTAGATGTCAGTTAGTTATTATTTAAAAGAATGTGCGTGTAAATAACTTGGTTGACTTTTGAAACTCTAAAGTGTATTTAAACCAATTTACTTACTACTACTACTACTACTTACTAACCACCAATAAGGAAATACATGCGTTATTTGAAACAGAACCTAATAAACAAGGTATTTAACTTTATTGCGAAAAAAAGCAGAGCATTTGGAAGTTGACTCAAACTTTACTCGGACC